CATATATATTAATATACTGTTGGGACAAGAATATTGATTATTAGTACGAAATAATTTTCGGCATTTGTTTTTCTATTGTTCTCAATGATTGCATCATAACAGTTAAAAAGGAAGAAAAAGAAAGATAAGAAATTCCTGTTGTACTTTTTTAAGTTCGCACGAGGACACTGAACTTGATTTTTATTTGTTGCCCATTAATTTTTACGTATAACAAGTGATATTAAAATGATATCAAAGTGTAATTCGAAATAATTGTTCAACTCTAACGAATTATCTTTCGAAACTTTCGCTTTCGCTGACCACGTGTATTTAAAATACAACATTTGCTTTCTCTCCGAGGTTAACACTTTATTTTTTGGGATGAAGTATAATTAATTTCGTCTGATCGTGAAAACATTTTATTTCCAATTAGATATCAGCATGTCTCAGGGCTCGTCGTTGTCGAACGATTTGGACGGGACGATGTGTGATTTGGAAGGAAATCATCAACAACAACAACAACAACAGCATCCTTGTCAATGTTCAACGATGAGTGGGATTAATTCGATCAGAACGCAACGTGATAGAACTGATAGAAGCGTCATGGGAAGTACGAGAATTTCGAATAATCAGGAACTACCGCGAGGATTGGAAACGTTGCAGAGTGCATTCGAACCTTTGAGAAGATTGGACAGCCCAATGTCTCATCAGGAGACAAGAAACGTTGAGATTTTGGAGCATCAAAACACGCCAATGTCGCGACACGCTAGGAATGTTCCATGTAGTCCAAGAAATTTAGATCTCTCGCGAAATCTTGCCTTTGAAGCAGCTAGAAGAGTTCAGGAATCATCGAGTTTGCAGGAAAGTCGACAAAGTTTGACATCGAGTCCTAGTCATCTTTCGGATAGCAATTTGAATCCTATGGAAACTTCATTGTCGTCTAAAGAAACTTCGGAAAAACAATTGGACGATCCGTGTGGTTTATCACCTAAACAAAACATTTCAAAGGATAAATTGAAAAATATCCAACAAGTATTGAACACATATCAGCATCATCGTATACCTATCAGCGGGGAATCTAATACACCTGAACGAAACGTTCACGGACATTTTCACGGTGATTCTCACGTGCATTTGCACAAGCATAACGTCGATAACACGAGAACTAATGTGAATTTAGAAGCAAGCGAGGGTCTTAAAGGATTCCAGCAGCGACAACAACATAGCCATCATCATCACGGAACGCCAAAGACCTCTAGCGTGACTCATCATCACGGGTCGGCGATGATGCACCATGCGGGGGGACACCATCATGGAAATCTTGGTGGCGGGTTGGTCGGTCATATACACGGTAACCCTTCAACGAGTTTAAATGGATCTGGTAATGGTACAGCGACGATTAATCATGGGAATACTGTGACCGGTGTTAATAATTCAAACTCTCATCACCATGGAAATCCTATCGCGGCGGGTACGACGACGACTATGACAACGACGACTATTACCATTACGACAACTACAACGATGATGTCCGCAGTAGCTGGGACAACTACCACGACATCGATCATAGGACAAAAAGGTTCACCTTTGACGAGTCATCGTCATCCAACCGTGTCGAGTGCAATGAGCGGCACGTCTTCTAACTCGAGCATGATGAATCACGGTGGATCACCGAGCGTACATCGGCACGTATCGGTAAACGCGAGTGCCAGTTTGTCGGCAACCCCATTGGTTGCCAGACATCATGGGAGCAGTTCGACCGGTAGCTTGACAGGTCGTTCGAGTGTCAATCATCATCACGTGAGTTCTGGTATCTCGTGTGAATCTTCATCGTCTAATGCGAATACAAGGACTCACAGCAGATTGGATCACGTTCACGATCACCATCATCTATTGCAACAGGTGCACTCTTTACACCCTGATTCGAGATCGAGAGATAGGGCAGCCTCGTTAGTTCATCCCCTCGATGAACAACAACATCATCCACATCATCATGGGCACGTTCATGCACATGGTCATCCTCATTTGCAAAACAACGATACCAAAAATTCATCCCTGATAAGAATGGACGCTATACAGGTTGGTAGAATTAAATCAATTATATTTATCATCCATTAATATTATAACATTTGATAATATACTATGGATAAGTTAGATTTCAAATGATCTCTCCCATTGCAATTTACGCGATCAGGTGTCAGCACCATCGAAGAGTAGCAAGTGTCAGTGTCACGCTGTACAACAGGGTAACAGGAACAAGAGAAATTCTGAGGGTGAGACTGACGACAGTGGTGGAATAGTTGAAGTAACGTCGAGAACCCATCAACCACCGGCTTTACCACCACGACCACCACCCAGACCAACCAGACGTTATGAAACAACATCCACTGATCAATGCAAGTATTTCTTTACACCTTATTTTGGTGTTTAAACCGTTTTACTCTTAAAATCCATTCTACTATACCTTCCAGTCCTCTGTTATTCTCAAGAAAACACTTTCACGAATATAATCGAGTTATAAAATAATCAACCCTGAAGCAGCATCCCTTAAAACTTGTAGAGAATACCGCAAGGGCTCGCTACAATCTCCTGGGTATATCGACCAGTCGTAGTTTTCAGCTAACCGAGTGAAGGACAACGATTAGTGTCGTCGTCGTTGTCGGAGGCTTACGCGAAAAAGGATAACGTAGTCCGGCAAACGTTTTTATTAATTTCCTGTTTTATCTCGTGATTAACATAATTACGAAATTAATAGGATCGTTTTTGTAAATATTATTATCCAAAATATTCCGGGAAAATTATTCCGATTCAAAGATTTTTACGATTATCGTACGTGTGACATTTGCCGACCACCACCACCACCACCTGTGGGACATCTCAACGTGACAAGTACCCCAAACTTCCTAATCCTTTCCCTATTCCCTTGCCCAAACCCACTTATACATATTTTGGGAAAATACTCAAAGATATATTAATGCATTACTACAAATGTGATTTATTTATTCTCGACTGAACAAATGAAATAAAATCAAAATAAAAATATGGATTGCGAAGAAGAAGAAGTATCGTTCATCCCGACAAGATTATCATCCGAAAAGTGGTGAACATTAATTTATTGATGAACTTTGAGAAAGGGATAGTGCGTAATAAGGTGGTGACCTTGAACCATGAAGCTTTCCCGTTGATAGAGCATAGAAGAAAGAGGTGGAGAAGGGGGTGGGAGGAGGAGGAGGTGGAGGTGGAGGAAGGGGGGAGGAGAAACGTCTTTGGATCGCTAGGGATTACCTATTGACATTTTAAAGTAAACGAGTTCATATATCGAGAGCGTGCGCTTTCAAGAATTTTTCTCCCCCAAGTATAGTTATGTTCCAACGGGTTAGATATTCTATGGGTTCTCACGGTACAATCCTGTACCGACCACGTGCTATAGTTGTTCGTTTCTAATTCCGTAAAGTTGAACTTTATTTCTTTCGTATCTGTGTTTCACGTTATAAGTGACAAAGAAATAAATATTCGAAGAAGATAATCATCGTTATAGGAAAGAAGGAAGGATTAAAAATTGATTTAATTATAAATCTATAAATATCGAAGATTATTTTGTTGACTCAACTGCAAGGATGGACGGATATCCGGTGTTACAAATAGTACGATGTCGATTAGGAACGGAGATGGAGATAGACAGCCAGGGTTATCCCTTCCCAATGGCGGCTGCTGCTGCACATTCGCATTCCCACTTACCTCATTCTGCTAACCACACACACTTGCCGAGATCACGTTACACACATCCCTGTGGTACGTTTGATTAGATTTTTTTCGGATAAATTTATCAGATTATTTTTGTTGAGATACATTTAATGTTTTATTCAATTGTATTTGCATTGAATTTATATATTTTTGCAGATAAACAACACAAATATATTTATTCTATATTTATAATATACTAGAGTCTTATTTATGATATATTAGGATTAATATTATAATATATATATTAGGGTATATTTATAATACGTAAAACACAAAAATTATAATTATCCTATTAAGAGTTTATAATATTACGGTCTAGTTATAATATTAGGGTCTATTTATGACACGTTAAACCTTCAATTATTTTTATAATACTCTTCGAGGTTACAATCTTGACACCATTATAAGTGTTTTATTACCCCATCCATCCCTGTTTAATCTTCTTGAAAGGAAAAATAAAATAGATAATGTTAATTTATAGATAAAACTTTATCGAGTCTTGGTACATTAGGATCATTGAAGATTTGTTCAATCGTACAATCGATAACAAATTACCACGTTAAGAAATTGAAAAGCTTTTCATCAATTGGTTTTCCTTGAACGAGCATGTGGGTACTCTTTAAAAGGATTTTATTTAGAAACGTTTGGAAACTTCTCTTCTTAGGTTTTCTACGATTCTAAACTACCGAATCGGATAATAGTACAGGTAGCCGATCTTTTCTAAAAGTATCCTCATTTTTTTTTTTACCGGTCATTGAATCCGAGAAGAAGAAGAAAAGAAAGAAAAGAAACGAGATCGTCGTAAATTCTCGTGCCCTCATAAAAGGAAGAAGGAAGAAGAAAAAAAAACGATAGAACGCTAGAGGGGAAGATTTTCAGGGTGACGTGTATCTACCCTAGCGTTTCTTTTTTTTTATTTTCAAGATTACAATCGAAAAGAAAAAGAAAAGTTAGGGAGGTAAAGGTAAAACGTTTCACAATGCAACAAAAAAAAACGGGACAGGTATATATTTTCAAATACATTTCCCACGTTTCGAAAGTTCGTTTTTGTTCATCGTTGAAAAATATTTACGAAAAAAGTATAATAATTAAAATTGTCACAATATTTTATAAATCGACATTTGAAAAAGTTACGTCGTCTGGTACGTGTGTCAGAATGTTCTCTTTTTATTTTTAATAATGATACGCGATAAAGTTAAATTAAAAAGTTTGGCGTCAATGAGTTTCGAGAGGATTTCGGTATTGTTCTAGGAATAGTAAAATGTTAAAGTATTATTATTCATCATCGAGAAAATTTCCAATGGCGACGTGTACGATTGAATGCTGTGAGAGAGAACCATTTGACAATAGGAATTGAATTCGATAACTACGAGCAATGGCAAAAGGGACTGACAATATTTCTTTTTTATTTCATATAATATCTGATCAAATATTTGAAATATATATATTATATAATTATTATATAATATATCAATATTATATTAGGGTGAACCTAAAAGTGTGTGCACTTTAAATTAACATTTCCAAAATAAATTTTACAAAACAACAATCCATTATGCAGTTTGTAACACAATAAATGCACAAACTCTTGTTATAACCCAATATTAATAATATTATAAATATATAATCTTAAATATATATAACATATTCTTATTTTACATTTTACGTTAAATCAAATACCCATTTTTTAGGATTTATTTAGCATTTAGATTTTCTCTTTCAAGGAAAATAAAATAAGATTATTCTATTATGTTAAATACACGAATTAATTAACAAATAATGTAAGAGAAAGTTTTCTTATTTTAAAAAGAAAATAATTGTATAAATCAAACTGTTACAGGTCATACTGGTGAAGGTGGGTGCTGCAAGAAATACGTTGTTCTTTGTTGCCTATGCGGTGGTCTCAGCGCAGCAGTTGGTAGTGTCTTTTTGGCGGTACATGCTGTCCTTTCAGCCCACACGGCCAGTTTAGCGTTATTCGAGACTGTACCATCTTACATTCCTGGTATAATGGTAAGAAAGACAAAGGTTACACGGTTCTATCTCTCTTTTTATCTATCTATGGAAATTACGTAAGAAATTATAAACCCTAACGCGTTAAATGCATTTCACGGTTTTATTGTCAAAGAAATACGAAGACCTTCGATTGACCTTCAAACCTGACCTTTTATCTTCGCGCGAGAATAATTCTATATTCATTTTTATATATTATTATAAAAATCATCGATCATTCTAATTATAATTGCACACAATTAAAAATGCACTGCCTGTGCCTGCCTGCATCTTTTTTCACCCCCAACAAAATGAAATCATTTGATTGTTTCTTTCAGTTGATACTGATGGGATTATTCACTATGCTTTTGGCTAGACGAAAACATAGATACGGACTTTTGGTAAGTATCCAACAAAAATTGTTGATACAAATCATTGAATTTAATCAAACGAGGAAGATTATTATTGTGCAATGCGATATATTCGCTTAATTATTTTTCAGATGAAAGTTTGCGGCTCGGTTGGGGTCGTATGTGCATTGGTGTGCGTTTTGGTGACAGTTACAACGACAGTAATTCACATGTCTCGATTGCAAGGACTCAGAGAGTGCGTTTATACAGCAAGAGCCAGGTAAATCTCTCAATGATACGATTTAACGATAGGATTTTTAAGTTACATTCATATAAACTTATAGAAAAATAATTGTACGTTTAGGTCGTGCACGTGTTATGGTGCACCGCAATCTAAAGGTGATCCAGGTGTCCTGTTCGAAGGTACACCACATTGCGAAGCGGTACACGGTGCACTTTACACCTGTCTGCGTGCACTTTTCGGTGTATCTGTGGCTGGTATACTTGCCTGTATATTCTCGTGCATGTTGGTTTATCAATTACTGAGTCACGAAAAGAAAAAAATGTATTGGGAACAATTGGAACTAAGATGTAGATCGTTGTACGGTCAAGGAGGCCCAGTAGGGCCACCGACCGCATCCTGTGGATGTTGCAACGATTGCGGCGGGGCCAGTCCGTGGTGGGCACAAACCCCAGGCAATCTCTACACGCCGAATCCTGACTTGGCACCTTCCAGGTAAAATATCACCCCTAATATCAAATCCTACAAAGATTTACTTCTTCCCTTTCGATGATAAAAACCGAAAAACTTTCTACTTTTGATTTTGTTCAAACCCAACCGTACTACTTTTTTCGTTTATACCCAACTCGATTGTATTATTCTTCTTTTTCTTCTTCCTTTGGCAAATTCCACGAATATCATTAAACGAGACTAAGATAAAACTCCTTAAACGAGACGATTCTTTGGGATAAAACCCAGATAATGTATGGAATCAATTAAAGATCCGGCATTCCGTTCTTCGGTAGATTTCTTCGTTCTGCGGAAATAAATTATAGACAAAGCTCTTATATAGCTCAAAAGAATTTACCAGAGCTGTTGCTTGTTGTGTTTCTTGATAATAAAAACGTGAAGTAGACGCATACACACACACAGCTTTCCCCCTTCCACTCGTCTGTGATATATTCATCATCTCATCATCATCTGATTTAATTTCAATTCACGGACTCGGTTGCATCGTTTTATTTCAGACGGTGGCGATTACCTTGGTCCAGACCCAGAGGACCAGCACCGAGCCCAGACTCAAATTACGGATTCCACACTCAAACGAGACAAACTGAGACCAACCCCGACAATGCGGCTGGCCCTTATAGCGTCCTAAATTCGCAATCAAGTGGTCCTTATTCAGTTCTGAACACACCCAACGGACCCTATACACCGAGTACAGCATCCTACAGTGTTTTGGAGACACCTGTACCTCTATGGGGTCCACCACCACCTTACAGCGATCCTAACAGTCCAGCACGTAGACCACAAGTCGCGGATACCAGGCCGAGAATGAGCAAAAGGATCGATAATTTTGACGGGAACGAAGGTTAATTATCAACGAATAATATTTCTAAACCTAATTTTGCTATTCCCCTAGTCGTCAAGCATAATTCATATAATTTATATTACAGATCACAGATCGAGATCGACGAAACGTCCATCGGACAATTACGAAAATGCCGAAGAAATTTCTAATAGTACAGACCCGGAAGGTGGAAACGATGGAACGATGAAGGGTAGGAGAGCTAGGAAACCTTTAAAGGGTGTCGAGAATGGTGCTTTCCAACAGGAACCCAATCCCGGTGGCAAACAATCGGAAAGTGAATTATATTTCGGTGATGTTTCTTCCTGTTGCGGTCCCGAAAGTAGTTTCTATGATTTGGCTGTTGAAAAAGAAGGTAATAGTTTTGTTAATTATTTCGGGATACGGTGGAATTAAAAGTGTTCCTAAATTTTTGGATGCATCGTAATGCACGATGGAAAATTTTTAGTCTCACCATGAAATATTGCAATAGCTGCATGCGCATAAGTACGGTAGGATTATTCGAGTCCCATCCAGTAACAACAAATTTAATTAAACTATTATTATTTTTACCAATTTTGTTTCTATTTAAAACGCAACAGAGGATTATTTTATTATAATCTTAAATCCTGTACTGCAACAAGTTAAACAATTTTGATCAATGCAATAATCGATGGGATAACAAATATTTGTGATATTTTGATTGAAGGTGCTGAACATTCGGAAGGGGTGGATTATTTAGCAGCTCGTTTGGGCAAACGACAATTATCTAAACGATCTAGACTTCCTCTTCCGTTACCCTCGGACGGGGGTGACATACCTTCCGACAGTTATGCCAACAGTGACGAACCTAGAAACACTAGGGGACCCTTTTTAGCACCGGATGCTCAATACGAGGTTATTCAGCAAGCTCGTTACTCGTATTACTCGCCAAAAGAAGACGAAGAACTCGACGAAGAGGCTGCCACGTCGAGTTACTTCAGAGAAGAGGAGAATGATCGTCCAAGGGAAAGGGATTATAGGGACTATCACAGCGGTCAGGAAGAGGAAACACCTCAGTGTTGTTTGAGCGATTCCACGACTTTGGATTCTGGCTGGCAAAGTGGTGAACAACAGCAATCGGACGATAACGTTAGACCGGTTAACGTGTAAATCGATTGTTTTTCTTTTTATTTGTTTTTTTTTTCTTTCCCTTTGGAAATAGAAAATCGATAGGTGGTGGAAGAATTCCCTCGTACTCGAAGAACAATTTTGTGGATCGTTTCAAAGTGTTAACAATTTATCGATAGCTCGATCGCAGATCTTACTAACAGATTTTAATTAGATTTTAATCATTTCGTTATTTTTCTGACACCGATTATAGTCGGTGTCAGAAAATATCATGAAGTAACTGCAACGAAGTTATCATTTTATGCACAGAAGTAAGAATCATGTCTCCCAGACGTTGTTTTAAGGCAAACGATTAGTAGATTAGCGTTTGGTAAAGTGTTAACATTATTATCGATCTTTTTATTCGTTCGTGATATACCCCTTTCGATTTTTCTGAGACTGAAACGACGTTGCCATAATTTCAAATTATTCTTAAAGGCCAAGAAGATGCGATATATAGTATATTGAAATATTCCTTCTTTTCTTTCGTTTTTTTCTTCGGATAAAAGATAAGATTTTAATATGTGGTTAATGTGTGTATGAGAAATATTATTATTATTATTATTATTATATTTAATTTAAGTGAGAATTATTTTTCTCTTTTTCTCTCAACGATTGAGACGTTCATGATTGCTCGTAGTAATTGTTAATAGTATATTTTAATTATAATAATCGTAAGAACACAAATGACCGCCATTTATTTTCTTGACGAACATTGTAATAATAATAATAATAATAATAGCAATGATAGTAAACTTATTAACTAATGGAAGAAAGAGGCTTGTTGTGTACGATGCGGCAGCAACGAATAATCCAACATGGAAATTTGAACGTGAAAGTTTTTAAACTTCAATTAGAAAAATAATTGCAACGGGTTTATTCAGTGCATGCTTGCGTTTGTGTGTATGTATGTATGTATGCGTGTATGTCATTTGTTGGACTTGTCGTCGACTAAAAGAAAAAGAAAACAAAAATACGCACGTATAAGAAGTTATACTTCTTTGGCTTATATAAAACTTAACCCTTCTTTGCATGATGATGGAAATTTCAATGATAATATTTAGTCAACAAAAAAAGGTACTCAAAACCCTTGTACTGTATATTTGTTGTTGCTGGCAACTTTTTAAGCGACTATTGCGTACAACAAAACGCAGTTGTCAAAAAATAGCACTAGGATTTTTTTTTAAATATTTTTCCTTTAATCTAGAGCATTAATTACATCACCCTGATTTATTTAAAAAAAAAAGAAAAAATCATGCAAAGAAGGGTTAAACAGTACACGTGAACTATTACCCGACTAACTTCATGCTGTTAATTTCATATCGTTGTGCGTGCGCATCCGTAAATATTGACAAACTTCATTCTGTTAATTTTGTTTCGCTGAAGAGATTCAATACTCCCATTATTTTTGTCCCAAATGCGCCAAAAGAAGAAGTATAACTTAAAAAAAACCAACAACAACGTCCATGTACAAAAGTGTGCTTTACTCTTGCCAATAATATTAACTTGTTAGATGTTATTTAGCCATATACATTTCGATGAGCGTTAATTAATTAATTAATGAATGAATTAATTAATTGTTGTCCGTCGTAACGTTGTTAATTATAACGTTATTAATAATTATTATTATTATTATTATTATCGCGTTATTTAAGATGAATTATTAGTCCAAATAATTTTCGTTTTCATTTTTTCTTTTTTATTTATAGAAAGTTCTCTCTCTCTCTCTTCTCTAAACGATTGCAACAATAATTCACTCATATGTCGCATCGATTTCTGATTAGAATTTGTTTTCATGTTAGATTAATCAAACTGTTATGCGTAATTATTAAATAAACAATTCAGGTGGACCAAGGAATGGAAAGAGAAACAAAAAAAGAATGATCGTTGTTTAAAATCAATAGGAAAATAAGTAGAAGAAACGAATTGTTTTGCGTTAATCTCGAGATTTGTCATTTTTCATCGTGTAAGAAATGAAAAGAAAAGAAAAAAAAGTCAACTGATATTATAAATGACATAATTTTATATCAGACAAGATTAAAGAAGAAAATAATTTGAGAGAACTTAGAATAAAGGAAAAAAATAAAGAAAATTATTACGTGATGTGAGAAAGGAGGTTGAATAGTTTTGAAGAATAATAGTTTAACGTTGTTTACTCGATGAAGAAGTGTACCTTAAGAAAAATAAAAAGGAAGAGACGTATGAATATATATATATAGGCAACACACATACAGATTCAATCCAATGCGTTGGTGAAACAATGTAATATTAATGATTACAGAGAATAAAGCTTTGTTTTATAAGAAAAAGATTAAAGAAAAAGAAAGAACAAACACAAACAAATAAAAAATCATATAAAATAAAATTTTCAATGAGAAACCACATACTACACATATATATATATATATATATATTGGAAAAGTAATAATAATATAGATGAAAAGGAATGGCAGGATCAAAATTGGACAGGCGTTGTTATTATTAGCCAATTGTCTTTTTTCTTTCCTTTCGAACTCTCTCGTGTCCCTTTTACAATTATTATTGACCAATATCAGATTATTATATGATTTCAAAACGGGATCTAACTGAAGCAAACTGTCGCAATGGTATTAAATTACAACGAGAAAGGAAACACACTAACCTGGCACGTTTATCTTGTTATTGGAATCTATTTAATTAAGGGTGGTATCAAAAGTACGTGCGTTTATTATATTATAAAATGCATAATGGATTGTTCCTTTTGTAAAATATACTTTGGAAATGTTCATTTAAAGTGCACGCACTTTTAGGTTCACCCTAATTTATCCTAAAACCTATTGTAAATATAGATATTACGGTTGCATTTCAGTAATAATGATTTTACAATGATTATTATTAAATATATACATAAGTAAATGTATCGTAAAGATAAATTACAGCGAGATTACAGCGTTTCAAAAAGTCTCATTAAATTTGAGCATGGAACGGTTAATTAACGAGATCGCAAGCAACTGATAAAGTTATCCTGAAGAGTTGTTGTTCAACATTGGTTAAAGGAAGACTGTTGAACGGGTCTAGGCTCGTTCATTTTCAAGCTAATGCTCGTTACAAATAATTAGCATCGTTTAACCATACACGAGTTAAACCAGACGTGTCTCGGTACGTTGGTTTTATTTCGTTCCAGAGAATATATCCAGACACACCTATTACGTAAGTATAACTTACTTAGTATACTTTAAAGAATATATTAACTAGTCTACTTGCTAGACAAATAATTAACTGATATATATATAGCTTAAGGATATATATACCTAATAACTTATCTAATTTTAATTTTTAACACTTTACCAATTGGTAGTTGATCAATTGGTTGCAATAGTGATCGGTAAGAAGTGCATAAATATGTTGACCTGCTACCAATCGGTAAAAGTGTTAACGCATGAATAATCATAATAATTTGAGATCGCGGTAATAATAATAATAATAATAAAAGATAAAGTTTCTTTTGAATCTGTTCACATGATATAATAATTACGTGCAAGATCCTTCAACGATTCTAAGTGCAGCTTGATTAGCTAAAAATCTTTCAACCCTTTCACGAAACTCTCTGTTAGATTCCGGTAAAGGTAATTTAGGTGTGATTGTTTGAACCGAACTCGTAGGATTGATATTTAAACCATTTTCGGATAATCCACGATCGTGATCCAATATATCAGGCCTAGGTGGTGGCGGATGTTTTCTTTTGCATACACCAGCTGAATGAACTCTTTTCGAATCGGCAATTGTAAGATTGTTGTTACCATAATCAATATCCGGAAATCTGTTCATCATACCGCGTAAAGCTATTTTAGCACTTAGCAGGGACCAAAAGATTTCCAAAAGTGATGCTAACAAGACATTGACCGTAAGTAATGTTTCCGTTTGCGAAGATTCACGTTGACGTGCACCCCTCTGCCAAAATGATAATACCTTGTTTTCACTTTGAAGTGAAACGAATCGTTGATTACTTTTATTTTCAGTTTCCTTTTCCAACTCGTTACCAGAGATCGGCATACTTCTTTCGTATAATATCGAACTCTCTCCCTTGAGATCATCATAAACTAATCCCCCCTTGTCACTTTCGTTAACAAATTTCTCCATTCTCATAGTGGTTTCATCGATGATACCAGTTACATTGGTATCATTATCATTATTATTATTATTATTATCATCATCGATAACTACAAACGATTTTTGTTGTTGATCGTTCGAGCTGGCACGAATAATTTCTTCCATAGACAAGATAGAAGCATTATTTGTTTCAGCAACCGCAGCTATATCGAGAATTGTCACGACTAAACAAATTATGGCTGCCAGTAATGAGAAAATATTAGCGGAAAAGAATATCGTTATGTTTCGATCGATGTACCATCTTCTCCAAGCGAGTAATCCCGCAACGAACGGTACCAAACAGGCTACTGATAAAACAGCCCCTTGAATTGACATAGCTAGGGTACCTAAAAGTAGGGAAAGTGCCCCCAATCCAAAATGTACCAGAGCAAGTCCACCCACTGTTGATGCCGAATAACGTCGTTCTGAAGGATACAACGACGAGAGTGCAGGTTTCGTTTTCACTTTTATCACGTAAACGTTCTCCATATTGTGTTTTTTTCTTAACAATCCCTTTTTATTAACACGTCAGATGTTTTAGATGTTCAAATATTTGTCTGCCGTTTCTTTTGTTGCTGGTTTACATTGATTACGTACTCGTCAGAGTTCACAAGCGAAACTCGGGAGTATTTTTGTTTGTTCGGGGAGGTCTCCCACATTTATCAGAGTTCATTTTTTGGAACTATTGGTAAGGTAGGATAAATAGATATGATTTTATGAAATTTCATCGCGCTGCACACGGGGTTGACAAAAAAATGTTCGGTTGTAACACTGAATGATTATTTTTTACGTTAACCGTAAAGACAAACAATTCGATGATAATTTTCCATAGAGGCGTAACGATTTCTTAATACCCCTAAGCTTTTTCCATTCTTCTTCTGTTTCTTTTTCTTCTTCCTTAATTAACGTTATGCAAGCGCGACCGATTGTGTAGCGACGCGATTATTCTCGAAGTCATCTTATTTCTTTTTTTTGTTCAGATTTCGTTTCCGTTTCGACACAGTTGTTGGTTTTTTTTGTTCCAACGGATATTCCGTAAACAAATTGTTTATTATGTTTATTACGTTGCACACAATCCAAAATGTTCCTCTTATTTTTCAGTAATCTCGTAACTTTGACCCTTATTTAAATGATTTATAACGAAATAAGGGTTAGAGAGAAGGGTTAGAAATTAATTATGATAATTAGTATTACGTTAAACGTAAGAAGGGGGATCTATCACGTTAGACGTTTGAACGGCAACTGAGAGGTACTGAATAAAGACTAGTATGTCTCTCGGTTGGAAGAAATTGGCTACAAACTTCTCTACGTACACCTCCCACGCGAGAGACTTGCAGTGAAAGGGAGAACAGAGTACGATGGATACATAACTAGTATTCTCTACGGTGTTACGTTAAGCTCCTTTCACACTGAGACAAATTATTACCTATGGTTTATACTAACATCCCATAAGAAATGCATAACACATTTCTAAGTGTTTACAAACAAATTCTCTCTTATAGTTATTATCATAATTATTTATTTATTAATTTCGATAATATTCTAAAGCTTTGAAGAATGAAATAATAATAATAATAATTAACAAAAAAGATACAAATATATACATATAATCTCTCATTAATCAAACGAATCTACGAGTTTAGTTGTGAATATTACATTAAATAAAATTGCAGATAACATTCAGAGTGCAAATAGATCCCCCATGTTCTTCCAGAAGGATCTCGCATATGGTAACCTTTATTGTTGCCAGTTTAAAACCTTAACTTAACTCTCCCGACCTTTTCTATTTCTTTCGTATATCGGTTTATAAGAATAATACACGAAGAGAATGTGGATGACCATCGGAGATCTTTCGCGGATTCTAACCTCCAATCCATCGAACGGAAAAGGTCGGCCATTCATTCGATTAAATGGCACAAGTTAGACGCGTATACCTTTTTCTCTCTATCGGCGCCAATTTATTTCTTATTATTTTTATTTTCATTTTTACCGTCTTTCAAATATCACTATTTCTCGAATTATTTTTCTTCTTCGTCTCAAGGATAATAGTGATGCGACTAACGCGTGTTTATAATTGGCGTTATTCCTACCCCCTCCCACCATCCCTATCAACCAATCACTACGAGAAAGTTGAAAATCGGCTAACCGCAAGATTTTTTTTCCTAGTTATGTATAATATCTTCTTTGTTATTTAATCTAAATATCTGGTATCGAACGAGGACGAATACAAAAGTAACTAAAACAAATTGTAGAAGAAACTTTCACGATATATGAAGAGTTAACCTTAATTAAAAGTGGATTCTAGTATAACCGAAAGGAAATTTAGAATCAAATTTCCACTTTTCCAATCGAAATAAAGGAATTCTAATAATTCGATTATCAATTATCATTTATGATAACTTTATTTAGTATTTTCTCTCGTCCAAAATTATAATTTTTAATGATAAAGTTAATAACGATCAAACTAACGAAGTTTAGATGTATTGTCTTTTGGAATATTATAAAAAGAAATGTATGTCGAAATAAATAAAAAAGACGCTGAGCTTTAATGATTAAGTTGCTGAAGAAGACCCAATAAAGGGACGAAACGTCCAACTCAATTAAATTAAGTTCTACTTATTTTCATGTCCAAGTTCCCTATGAAACTTTATCATTAAAATTTAAGATAACGTTGTATTCGTTTAAAAGGTGTCCTAACAAACTCGTTCTTACGTAAAACCCGATGTCGAAGAGTAAATTATACTATACTACTATTACTACTATTACTATTACTACGTTCCTTCCCCTAACACAAATGCAAGACACGACGAAGTTTACTAAAACGATCTGAAAGAAATATCTATCGATTGAAAAACGAAAAATCTCATTCGTTTAATATTTGATTTATTCTTATTAACTCTTTCTTCCTTCCTTCCTACAAAAGTTGTTCTCGATTTCGATCGTTTTTCCTTCCCCCTTCCCCCTTACCCTCCACCAACCCCTCCCGGTCGCTTTCACTCGGCTAACTTCATACGTTTACCGTTAGAGGAAAGTTTGCAAAAAAAAAAAACAACATACAAAACCGAAAAAAAAAAGAAATACTTGAGTTTCCGATTAGAAACGATTGGATTGTGGAACAGGGAGAGGGAGGAAGGCGGTGGGGTCAAACAAGGAAAATAAAAATAACGGAGTTGTCCGTGTTATTTGTTTTTCTATAAGAATTTTTTGAAAGATCTAACTAAAATATTAATGGGACACGAGAATTGTTCGATATATTTTTCGTTAGTTCAGTGACTTTTTGGCCGTTAACGTGGATGCTTCAACGACTTTCTCTCTCCCTTACTCCCCACTTACAGGGCCCCCCACCTCATTCTTTTTCTCTTTCTCTTTCTCTCTCTTTGCACGTGCACTTGGGTACAGAAAGGGAAGGGAGAAAGAAAAAGATCATGTTTGTGACCGAAATGCATTCGTATTGGAGCAGCTGTTGCGATTGGGGCACGCGTCCCAACGGTCGTGGCAGCAGCTGTCCACAAATCGAACACGGTACCTTCTACACGAGTTCCTATCTAGAACGGATTGTTGATATTTGAAATAGAAGCGTCAAATGACAACGTTTTAATAGAAAATATGTCCGAAAATTTT